GTTCAGAACCAAAATAAAACAAGAGTGCTCTGTTTCAACCTCAAAATGAACACTCCTGGAAAATATCTTTTTTCATCAAAGTGGCCATTTTGGGCTCAACCTCTCCTTTTTATGACTGCCAAGGTGCCAAAGTGCTAAGCATGAGTTGGATTAAATGCATTATAAAAGGCCTTGTTATTCCTATTTTTATTTATATTATATACTTATTTAAGAAATAAATATTTGTATAGCCACCCAACTCACATATGGGTGACCCCGGGTAGCTTACAACATTTAAAAATCTATTGTATAATAAAATCCGGACCGATTTTACCACCATTTATACAATGGTTGTACAGTGAGTCACCATGGTCGTTAAGAGAACCCAGCATAGCCAATGAATGAGTTTTGTTGCTTACCAGAAAATGGCAAAAAACATCATAAATTGTAATAATGGGAGTGTGGGATCCTGCAACAAGTTGTAAATACAAGCTAGTTGCCAAGTGCCCAAAACATGGTCACATGACTACGGGGGGGTGTTTTACAATAGTTCAAAGTGCTTTACATGCCCCAAAATACCCATTCTGAGGCCATCATAACTTTGAACAGTCATTAAGTGACCAGTCATTCAGTGAGGACTACCTGTATTGCTTTAAAATTTATCACTGGAGGTTCCACAAGTGGGCTGTCTGAGAGATGGCTTCTTCTATGGTGATATCCAAACTTTTTTTTCTTAAGCCATTGTTTTCATGCTCGCAATCTCCCTATCCCAGGGGTAGGCAACCTTGGCTCTTTTTATGACTCGTGGACTTCAACTCCCAGAATTCCTGAGTCAGCATGGCTGACTCAGGAATTCTGGGAGTTGAAGTCCACGAGTCATAAAAAGAGCCAAGGTTGCCTACCACTGCCCTATTCCTTCTCTTCTCAAGCTTTTTAACTGCTTTTAGGCTGCTTTCAGGGGTTATAGACACTGAGCTTGTTAGGTGGAAAGCTAATAGCCCAGGTTCGAGACTTAAATAGCCCAGATTCGAGACTTAAGCACTGCACAACGGGGCAAGCTCCTATGACTTGTCCCAGCTTCTGCCCATCTAGCAGTTTGAAAGCATGCAGATTCAAGTAGATAAAATAGTACCATTTCAGCAGGAAGGTAATAGTGTTCGGTGCACCTCAGCGTATAGTCATGTTGGCCACATGACCATGGAAATGTCTTTGGACAACGCTGGCTCTCTCGGTTAAGGAACAGAGATGAGCAGCGCCCCCTAGAGTCAGACACAACTGGACAGGAGAAACCTTTACCCTTGACCATAGTTTTCAATTCAGGTTTTTATCTTTGTACCTTTGTAAAACTCAAGAGCTACTAAAACAGACATAACTTCAAATATAGTCAAGGAAAAACTGGCTTTCGGTATTAATTCAAATGAATCCAGTGTTTTTCTATGAAATACTTTCTAGGCTTTTTAAGTTTGAAATATTTAATTCAGGGGCTTGATTCTACTTACGGAAGCCAGGAGTGACATATAATCCTTTTCAATTTACAAGTTTAATTTACAAGTTATACCAATTTACAAGTTTAATATGTAAGCTGCTTTGCTCTGGACAATACATAAAATTAATGGTGCCCATTACCAGCCAAATCCATGTGACCGAGGTTTATACTGAGAAATAAGGCTCCAGCAGGATCTTATCTAGAAGACAGCCAACACAGCTGTGTTTGACAGCTATCAGAGTGAGCAAATGCTGCCCCCTAGAGGTAACACTGAAATATAATTTTTTCACTTACATTTTGAAATAATACTAGTGTGCCACCCAACTCGGAATGACTCAATTCAAAAATGATTTTTGCAAATTAGATTACAGGAAATATGTCAAGCATATAGGGGCACATGTTAAATACAGGTAGCCCTCGACGTACAACCACAGCTGAGCCCAAAATCTATATTGCTAAGCCAGACATTTGTTAAGAGAGTTTTGCTCCATTTTATTACCTTTCATGCCACAGTTGTTAAGTGAATCAATACAGTTAAGTTAGAAACATGGTTGTTAAATGAAATCTGGTTTCCCCATTGGCTTTGCTTGTCAGAAAGTCGCAAAAGGTGATCACATGACACTCGGACGCTGCCACCATCATAAATATGAACCAGTTGCCAAGCATTTTAACTTTGATCACATGACCGTGGAGATGCTGCAACATTCGTAAGTGTGAAAAATTGTCTTGTCACTTTTGTCAGTGCCGCTGTAACTTTGAAGTGTCACTAAAAATGAACTGTTATAAGTGGAGGATTACCTGTATACCTAATTTAAAAACATTTAGTATATTTCTCACTTAATATGTTTTTGTTTTCCTTGAAAAATGCAAAATGACAAATCTGCAGGTTTTTCTTTAATACTGCTAAACAGAGGCTCTCCAACTTTGTATTCTCCATACATCGTAAATGCCTGTATTTCTATCTTATTCCAGGTTTATGAGGATGATGAAAAGGGATAAGATTTATTTTATACCTCTAGATTCATCACAATCAGAACTCTCTTTTTGAATAATACATGAATAAATTGGGACGAACAGTAATAGTCTTAGCACACAAGTGTATGTAAGTGAAAACTCAATTTCGTGAAGCTGAAACATAGGTTGCTTAATATACCTCAATAGGCTCCAAGTAATTTTATTGCAAACTAAGAGAACGTAGAAAAAACTGTTATACTTAATATCATCCACAACATTTGCATATATTCATATTGAACATGGAGGAGTTAAAATACCAGAGTTATTTAGTTTAGTTTTAGTTTTAGTTTTATTAAATTTATACCCCGCCCTTCTCCCGGAGGACTCAGGGCGGCTTACAGCCAACTTAAAAACAATAATACAATATAATACAAAATTTAAAAGTAATTAAAAATAGATATTCAATAGGCCGCTTATACTAAAAAAAAATTAAAAGCCAATTTAAAATACCCCTAGGCCAGTCCTGCCCGCTGAAATAACCAAGTCTTAAGGGCGCGGCGAAAGGAGGGGAGATCCGGAATCACCCGGATCTCTGGGGGCAGCTCGTTCCAGATTATGTCTTAGTTTTGAAAGGTGATTTAAATGATTGCCTATTTTTCACATAATAGAGATGTGTAATACAGGTAGTCTTTGAGTTATAACCATCCGTTCAGTGGCCATTTGAAATGACAACAGTGCTGAACACAGGGACTTACAACTGGCATTTGAAATTTCAGCTATTACAGCACCCCTGTGGTCACGTGAGAACAATTCAGGGTGCCTGGCAACAAGATCCCACTTAGGAGTAGATGCAGCATCCTGCAGTCACTTAGCCATTTGTGACCTTTCCCAAGCCAAATCAATGGATAAGTGTCGTTTCTATAGAGCTTTCTTTCCCACATCCTCTTCCCTTTACACAAACTCCCACACCTTCTTTCCTTAGCCTCGTGATCTCTCTCTCTCTCTCTCTCTCTCTCTCTCTCACACACACACACACACACACACACACTTTCTTTGTCCTCCCTGCAATGGCACCTATGAATACACGTACTCTGTGCTCTTTTCCTGGTCTCCTTGGGATCACATGCATGCACGTACCCTGCACCCCTTCTGCTTGACCTCACCGTGTCCACACATACACAAGCAAGACTGCCTGGATTATCATCACTAAGCAATGCGGTCAAGTGTAAATCTCAACATTATTCCATAAAACACAAAACACGTTATTTACACTCCACTGACCATGATCTTCGTAAGGATCATTGGGATCATCTGCCACCAATTCAGCATTGCTTGGGGTTTCATGGTCTTCTTTGGTCACAAATATAATTTGGTCCTTTCCTAAAAATTAGGGAAAAAGCATACACAATATTAGAAGAGTAGGTAAAGGACTGATCTGCCATAAGCTTCTGAACAAGTTCATTAGCAGATGACATTGGGCCCTGGAGATGCTTCATTATGAGCCATGTATATCTTGACATTAAATTAACATCTACTCCAGTTTAGTTTATTGATTATATTATTAATTTAGCATATGCCCCAGATTAAAAAAAAGTTAGCAAAGAATCGTGCTAAGTTTAATTTTCTTTCCTGCTTATGTTTACTTTGGCAGATGATTGTCAGTATGTGCACTCAGCCTTTATGTAAGATGTTACCTCTTCCTACCAGACTTGGATCAGAGTAGAGTATGCCCAGAGCTTAATACCCTTTCCTACACAAGCTTCTATTGGAAATACTTTTAAAATTTCTCCCTTTATTTGAATAGTTCATTTTATCTCTTTTGCCATCAAGTACCTTACATGACTATATCAATATGATAAACAAATAAATAATATGACAAGCTAAAATGAAGTTTTATGTTCTTTCTTTTTTTCTTTTAATAAGGACCATTTTAATAGGTAGTCGTCAGGTTACAACAGCAATTTGGGATTGGGATTACTGTCACTAAGCAATGCAATCAAAAGAGTGATATCATATCCTAGCAGTCTCAGTTGCCATCGTATCCTCAGAACTGTGCAGGCATTTAAGCGGGAAGAAGCAGGAGTCCCAACAAGGATCATAGGGGGTATGCAGGTGTCACGGTGAGGGGGGAAGGATGCCACAAGCAAGTAAGGGTGGGCTGTGGAGGGGTGTGGGTGGGCTCTAGGAATACAGGCAGGCTAGCAGGGGCTGTCAACAGGCGCTAGGGCACAATGACATACATTAAAAATGAAATTTAGTTGCTTGCTCTCAAAATGGCCACATACATAACACACATTTAAACATACTATATACAACATATGATTAGACCTACACCAGGGGTGGTGAACCTATGGCACGTGTGCCAGAGATGTCACTCAGAGCCCTTCTGTGGGCACACGTGCCGCTGCCCCAGCCCCGCCTTCACCCATGGCACCCTCACCAGCAGCTCCCCCGGAGAGTTGCCCTCGGGCATGGTCCGCATGGAGCAGCGTAGCCAAGGACATGGCAGCCGGGCAGCGGGGACCAGACTCTGTCTCCGTGCCCTGTCGCATGCAGATGATGCTGCAGGGTGCGGATGGAGGGCATGGCTGCCATGGCACTGCTGGGCCGCCTGGGCGATCTGTGGCGGGCTGTGGAGGCGGTGGGTGGCCCTGCGAGCAGACGGGGTGGGGGGCGGGGCAGGGTGATTTTTGGGCAGTCTCTAAAAGGTTCGCCATCACTGACCTACACCCTTACATATAAGTAACATATAAATATTAATCACTGTCCATCTTGAATACATAACAGAAGGAGGAAGCTTTAGAGTTCACAAGGTTAATACTGTATGGAATAAAGCTGTGACTGAATCACAGATTATGAAAGCCATCTCTCTCTCTCACACACACACACGCTCACACACACACATGCTGAGTTGGTGGTGGAAAGAAACATCTCCCTGGAAAATAGATGGCGCCACTACCAAAACCTATAGGGAGGTATGAAAACAATGCCAAGACCTGCAGAGCCAAAAGATTTCTGGGAGAGGATGGTTCAGATCCAATCTTTCTCAGCCCTCCTGCTGCAGGAATATCCTCTTGAAACCCTTACATCAGACATGTCAAACTCACAACGTCATGTGACATCATGCAACGTATCGGGACTGTTTTGCCATTGCCAGCAATGGGGTGGGTGCGGCTTCTGCATGACGCATCCGGCCCATGGGCCGGCAGTTTTGACACCCCTGCCTTACATTCATTTATTTCTTCTGACTGGAGAGCTGATATAATGGCAGGTTACAGTCATTCAGACTGGAATGATTATTTTTATCCACCTATATAGAGTCCTTCCCAAAGACATGGGATAGGCAGGTGTTCTTATCTGATGATGTAAAGGTATCATCGCAGGATGCAGACTGTTTAATATTAGTATTCCACATTTTATCTATCTGGAGCAATTCAAGGAGATGAGCGTATTATACAGGTAGTCCTCGATTTACAACAGTTCATTCAGTGACCGTTCAAAGTTACAACGGCATGGCACTGAAAAAAGTGAGTTGTATGTTTTTCACATGTACAACCAACTGCAGCTTCCCCGTGCTCAGGTGATCAAAATCCGGACAGGTGACCTCTGTCTGCTGCAGTGTCCCAGCTTCACAATGACCTTCTGGACAAGCAATGTCAATGGGGCAGCCAGATCTGCTTAACAGTCATGTTACTAATTGGACAACTGCAGGGATTCATTTAACAACTGTGGCCAGAACGGTCGTAAAAACGGGGCAAAGTTCACTTCCCAAATGTTTCACTTAGCAACAGAAATCTGGGGCTCAATCGTGGTCGTACGTCGAGGACTACCTTTCATACGCCTTCCTCCTCCTATTTTCCCCATTAACAACCACCCTGGGAGGTGGGTTGGGCTGAGAGAGAGAACGAGCGGCCCAAAGTCACCCAGCCGGCTCTCATGCCAGCCTCCACGCTCCTTTCCGCCCGGCCCACGCTTCCTCTGGGCTCCCTGAAGACCCAGCTGGGGCAGAGAAGCTTTTGGCCGGCTTCCCTCTCTGCTCCGTTCTGCTGCCCCAGGAGCCGGCCCGATCGTCACCATCGCCCCCTCCCTCCTCGCGCGTCCCGGTACCTTCTTGCCTGCAGTAGGACATGTCTGGGGAGAGCTCGGAGCGACTCCGAGTGATCCACCGAACGACCTATGAAATCAATCGGTCGCGGCTGCCCGGCAGCACAGCGAAGCGCCCGCCTCTTCCCACGCGCTCGCAGGGCCCCTGGCGGCAACCTCTCGCCCAGAGAGAAGGACCCCAAAGGGCAGCCTTGATGCCGCCTGAGAGCTTCTCTCCCCCCCTCCCCCGACTGTTCACATCCGCGCTGGAGCTCACGAATCGGGCAGCCTCCGTGTCAGCTAAAGCACGGCCTTTTCTTCCCGCGTGGCCCAAATTAGAAGGGGGAAGAAACGAACGGGAAGAAACAGAGAAGAGCCGTTATTCGTAACGGGACTACATGTCCCAAGAGGCTGTGCGGAAGGACCGGTCCTTCCGCCGTTTTCCCGACAAGCTTTGCGACGTCGACTGGTTCTCTGTTTCGCCTCTCCTTCCCGCCTTCGTATGCTTAGAAAGTTCAATGATATTCCCAGCGATGCTTTGCGACGGATAGGCGTGGTCGGGACTTTATTTCTCTCTGTGCTTCAGGTTATATTTTTTTATCCCCTCCCTTCATCTCTATCTCATTCTTGCAATACGCGCCCAAGCACGGGCCGTCCCAGGTCTGTGAACGAGGGCGGAGTTTGCCGCTAGTGCTACAAAGAGAGAGAGAGAGAGAGAGAGAGAGATCCGTGTCTGATCGGTAGGAGTGTTTGGGCGTTGCATCTCCTTTGGGCGTCAGATCTCTTCCTTCACTTTAAGAATAGCTCGGGGAGTTGGTGCATTTATTAAAAGCTCAAAGCACAGCGATATATGTAAGTATGGGGTTTTTCCGCCTTTATTAAGAAAAAAAGTTTGGAGATTCTTTGCAATGGGAAGAAGAGGGGGTCAGCTTCTTCTCCAAGGCACCTGAAGCAGGACAAGAAGCAATGGACAAGAAGCAATCAAGGAGAGAAACAACCTAGCACTAAGGAGAAATTTCCTGACAGTTAGAACAATTAATTAGTGGAATGATTTGCCTCCAGAAGTTGTGAGTGCTCCAACACTGGAAGTTTTCAAGAAGAGATTAGACAACCATTTGTCTGGAATGGTATAAGGTTTCCAGCCTGAGCAGGGGGTTGGACTAGAAGACCTCCAAGGTCCCTTCCAACGCTGTTATTCTGTAACATAGAAATACTTCTAATAAATGTATACAATCAGTAAGAAACCGAAAACCCCCCTCACGAGTGTTGACAGCCAGGACTGCAATCCACCGCACCTAATTTCAGAGGAAAGAGCCGGGGCTGATTCCTCAGAAAAGGTTTTTTTTAAAAGGAGAAACACATTTGCTTCATCCAGGGGGTGATGGCAGGATATTTTTGGGTTGGCAAGCTTGAGAAATGAATAGTTTCCCTTCTGACCAAAATCTATGTAAAAGATAAGGTGGTTGCCGCTGAATGATTTGACAGAATGGGCATGCATGAGAGAGTTTCTGCTTGATTTCATTTTGCTTTCAATAAGCACATACATTCCCATGGAAAAGGGCGTCTTCTTGTAAATTGTTCTGGAGTGTTGTCACTTGCAGTGTTTAAAAATGGCCTAGTGCATTCCGATGTTTGCATTCTGGCACAAACTTTTCCGATTGGGTTTAGTAGTCTCTACTAAGTTTTAAAGTGTCTCGGCTTCCACTTTCTGTCACACCATAACAATGTCCAACCTGTGTAAACAAATGACAACACGATTGAGGCTGCATAGAGAGCAGCTGCATTACAGCATGGTATTACTTATTTAGTTGAAAGGAACTTCTTGAGCCTAATGAAACGTATTTCTAAGAAGGCATGCATAAAATTATTTTTTTTAAAAATGCATGTGTGAGTACACTAAAAGCAATGATTAGTATAATTATCAAAAATCTATAGCAGTTTTCTTATTAAGCTATTAAGTTTTTGTGCTAGTAAGGAACAGGCTAATGAATTAATTTGGTTTTATTGTTGGCTGCATGGTTTAATTTAATTCAAAAGGCACATGATCTGAGGATAAAAGAAAGAAAAAGAAAAATCCTTAGTGCAGAAGATTGCACTTGTTTCTTTTGTTTATGTTCTGATATTTAGGCTTGATCCTGTTTTGTTAGCCAAAATTAGCCATGGTGTAGGATATATACATGGATCTCTACGATAACACCATTACTTCAGATTAATCTTGGAAGAGGGGCTTCAGAAAGCATGGGAGCAACACCTGTGTACATGATGCATTAAAACACCCATGTCTTTTTCAAGCTTTCTGTGGCTGCTGTAAAGAGGCTTTCATAGCAACCTAGATATTCTTGGGAACAAATCTCTATTTTTTTTTCAAATAGATAGAAGTTGCATTCCACTTCTGAAAGTTCTGAAGAGTCTCTTCTAAACTGAATCCAAAGTTTGTACAATATTTCTATGCACAGGTTACTTTCATGTTGCTCTGTGAATAATTATGTATCTTTGCTCCATAGTATGTTGCTCTAAACAATTATTACAAAATATTATGGTATAGACACACCTTCAAATATATTTAAATTGGATGATAGGTAATTTGTTATTGCTTTTGTTGTGGTTCAGTTGCTAAGTTGTGTCTGATTCATTGCGATCTCATGGACCATTATTACTTATATATACATATATTCAGATTTCTTTTTGCTGACAAAGAAATCTGAATTTGTAATGTATCGCAGTATTAATGTAATGTATTGCACTATTTTATATATATATTCATATTCAAAATAAAAAAACACAGATCACCAAGCTAAGTTTTAATAAATGTTTTAGTCTTGGTGATCTGTGTTTTTTGATTTTGAACATATATATATATTTATTATTATAGCCTTTGTATTGCTTCCTTAATGCAGATTTTAAATTGTACTGTGTAAACCTGTAATCTACTAATTTTGAGAAGAAGCTTCTATAAATATTATGGCTTTATAATGAAAAATCATGCATAATGCGATTTATTCAGTTTTGACTTGGGATGATATGTGAAAGCAGATGGTATCTCGCTCTTGTATTAGCTGAATTCATGTTTTTTTCCAAGGTTTATTGAAAAATCTTTGAGCACAATTAGACAATAGCAAGAAATATTAATGGCAAGATTCATACAATGTGCTAAATCAGAGGTAGTCAAACATAGCTTGTGGGCTATGTATCATCCCTAAGACCACTCCAGCATTTGAGATTACACTGCAAAAAATTAGCAACAAAATAGACTAGTTTGGGGCATACCTTTTCCAAAGATGCTACAATAAATATTGTTGATTCTATTTTAAGTCACAAATCAGTGGCATAGGTGAAGCTAATTAGTACCATGTGTTGACATACTGTCTTACTATCATGCTCCTCTTCTGCTGTGTAGAATTATGATGCTGTAGAAAGATGAACCAGCCCAAAGATTGGACTAAAGGAGTTAGAGAAGTTAGTTTTTTTCCCCCATCTATGCATAGATGGGTAATCCATCAAATCAAAACTTAGTACTGTAGCTGAGTTTCTGCCTTCCAAGATGGGTCCCAGTTGATGCTGTCATATTTTTGCTCAACAAGTAAAGTCTGAATGTATACCGTATGTTCTGTCCCCAACTCTTTTCCTTGAGAAATCACCATTAGTGCCACCAATAAGCCCAATAAGTGAAGATATGCTTTTCATTTTTAGCAGATTTCCTAGTTAGAGAATTTGCTGTAGCTGTTGCTACCTTGCCAATTTCTATAGTAGTCTTTGACTTACGACCACAATTGAGCCCAAAATTTCCATTGCTAAGCAAGGCAGTTGTTAAGTAAGTTTTACACCATGTTGCTACTTTTTTTTGCCATAGTTGTTAAGAGAAACACTGCAGTTGTTAAGTGAGGAATGTGGTCATTAGGCGAATCTGACTTCCCCAACAGCTTTGCTTGTCAGAAGTCGGCTGGGAAGGTTACAAATGGTGATCACATGACCCCAGGTCAGTGCAACTGTCACAAATACATGCCAGTTGCCAAGTGCCCAAATTTTGATCATGTGGTTGTGAGGATGGTGGAATAGGCAGTCACAAGTCACTTTTTTCAACGCCTTTGGAAGAGTTACTAAACCAATGGTTATAAGTCGAGTACTTGAGTTATAAAAGTAGGTAGTAGCAGATGTGCTGTTCAATAACTCTTTTCCCTTTTTGTTCTTTTCAGTAGTTGTCTGAAATGGGTGGAAAGAATGAGCACGTGAGGATCACAACTGAGCACAAGCCTGGGTTTCTGGAGCGCCTCAGCGAGACTTCTGGAGGGATGCTTGTTGGCCTTGCCACTTTTGCCCTGTCTTTCTACATTCTTTTTACCAATGAGGTGAGAGAGAATGAATCAAAGTGTCAGATTTCAGCTGTTTTAAGTTTGAAACACTTCTCTTTCAAAATGCTTATGGCATGCTGTTTTATGAATGAACAAATGAATGTTTCTTACTGTCTATGGCAGGGGTGTCAAACTGCCAGCCCACGGGCCGGTTGCATCATGCGGAGGCCGCGCCCACCCCAGCTCCAGCAATGCGAAAAAAGCCGCGATACGTCATGTGACACGTCATGTGACGCGGTGTGTTGGATACCCGTGGTCCATGGAGATTCTCAGTCATCCAGGTCATGGTTTTCCCAAAGGTTCTTTTTTCAAAAGACAACTGGACTTTCTTTGTTTTTCCTTGAAGACGTTTCGCTTCTCATCCAAGAAGCTTCTTCAGTTCTCAACAATTCTCAGAATTGAAGAAGCTTCTTGGATGAGAAGCGAAACGTCTTCAAGGAAAAACAAAGAAAGTCTAGTTGCCCTTTGAAAAAGAACTTTTGGGACGAATATTTCTAGCCTTTTTTTAATGCATTTTCAAGGAAAACTGTGTCAGGATGCTTTGCATTTTTATATTTACCATCAAACTTAGAATTTTAATTCAATGATTCTTTGTGCCAAATAGTTCCATGGGTTTTGTAAGTTGTTTTACACAAATGATGCATAAAGCCTGCCTGCCTACCTTCCTGCTTTCCTAAATATTATTAGTGGATTAGATCAGGAGTTCCCAACCTCCGGTCCATGGACCAGTACTGGGCTGCGGCATGCCAGCAACTGGTCCGCACAAACAAGCCAAGCTCCATCCACGAGATGCAGGCAGCACACAAAACCACGCACCCTCTGGTCTGTGGAAAAAACTTTCTCCATGGAACTGGTTCCTGGTGCCCAAAAGGTTAGGAACCTCTGGATTAGATTATTTAAAGAAGAGAAGATGAGTTCCTTCAACCCAAGTACTTTATTTTTTTCTTGCGTAATTGAATTTTCATTAAAAGAAAATCTGTTCTGTGTGGTGATTTCAGCCTAATGCTGCATGGACGAGCTTTTGCTTCAGGGGTCTACTTAAACCTCTTTATTACTCATTTCATCATTCCTAGGGGCGAACTTTGAAAACAGCCTCCTCTTTGGCTGAGGGGCTTTCTCTAGTCGTCCCACTTGACAACATCCAGATTATATCCCATGAGAATGACAAGAAACTTGTGCACTTATCTGGTATCCTTAGAACGTCAAAGGTAAATTTCCTTAGTTCAAAATTTTCTTCACCTTTTCACATTCAAGTTTTTTTAAAAAAAAATGTATTGCTGCTTCTGTCTCTCTCTTTCTCTTCCTCCCCTTCCACAGCAAATCTTGCTGTGCTGCCTCATTGTGTTGGTGGGGATGTGTGTTGTTCTTGGGAAGGATGAGCAAAGAATGTTGGGAGTGTACATCAAGAATATGTATATATATATATATTCCCAGTAAGACCACCCAAGCCATGAAGGTCATCCCAGGTGCTGAGCTAAAGCAAAATGGTGCCTATAATGGATAGTAGCAATATAAAAAGATGGCAGAAATAGATGAGGCATCAGTTATGCTGGAAAAGGCAATGATAAACTGAGAAAAAGATGGCTGGATTCAGTTACCATAGCGATGCTACATTGGGATATGTGAAAGAGAAGATTAGGAATAGATTTTCATGGAGAAAATCTATCTGTATGGTTGCTAGGAATTGAAAACAACTTGATGATACATAATCAAGCAATCCTTTGTTCTGCTAGATTAAATGACTTGTGGGAAAAAATTAAATGCTATCCTTTTTTTTCCTACTGTGCCTGCTGAACATCTAAGGAAGTCCTTGTAGATAATAGTTCTTGTATCAACTGATGTTTATTTGCATTTGCTAGCCTCTGTATGATCCCAGCTATGGGCTTTCTATCCGGGCAGTCAAGCTCAAACGTCAGGTGGAGATGTATCAGTGGGTTGAGTATGAAGAGTCCAAGTAAGATGCTTTCCATATTCATGCTTTCTCTACTTAAACTGTGTGCATGTTTCTAGTAGTGGTGATAGTGGAACAGGTTTGTGTGAATTTTTGAAATTTAAATAATCCAATTTAGGATTAAAAGAAACATTGGCATATTTATTCTTATATTTTCCTTTCTATTCATGGGAAATATAATAATAGTTTGATCTAGCCTCCGGTATCTATTTTTCCCCACTTTATAACAACTACTGTAGTGATTCAAAGCTATAATGAGTGAATGAACACAGAAATATGAGTCATTTGTTTATAGCTGGCTTCTGGGCTGGAAAGTATGAGCAGCTGAGAGGTGATAGGAAAATAACCAGCAGTTGTCATGCCTACAGCAGCCTTCACATCTCATCTCGGGTGAATGATACCAAACTGAGCTACAGTGAAGCAGCATGTAACATCAAAGTTGGAATTTTGGCACTTCTTCAGGTTTCTCAGTCATAGCAAGGATAGATCTATTTAGCTGATATCCTACTTAGATGAAGAAAATTTTCAGTGCTGGTTTGAAGCAGCGAGTCCCAGTATCCAGAAGGAAAAGGGGCAGATGAAATTTAACTTGTCTTTTATAGAAATGCATTTTCTTTGACTAGTTTCATTAATCTCAAATCCCAGTATTTCCCCATGCATTCAGATCAGTTCTCTTATTTGGAAAGTGTTATTCTCTAAGCTTTAGATCACAGAGGGTTTATCTCAGATCTTGAAACTGACATGTTTTCATTGAAATCACAAGACGGTTAAGGGTCTCTCTTAAAAGGAGGCAATTTCAGGAGTGATGGGTATTCATTACTGGTGTTGTGGTGAGGAGGGTTAGGCTGTTCTATATTGATCTAAAGCTGCACTAACTTATCTAGGAACAAGTCCATTGGTACCCCTTTAGACTTCTTTTCACTTTGGGGTATTATTTACGATTGAAATAAAAGAACATTTAAAATATTTAAATAAGTTTCATAAAATGTGTATGGTTTGAAATAGTGTTATTTAAAATTCTTTACCTCAGGACTTCTTCCTGAAATGTACTGTTTTTTCAATCTCAACTCAGCATTAAAAATCTGTATCACAATAGAATATGAACTGATAACTCTGTACTAACCATTTTTATGGCATCCCATGAATGATTGATTGAATGATGGGTAAATGAGTGCCAATCCAGTACTAGCATAAGGAGAATACAATCAGATCTGTTTGATTTTTGTAATTTAGCACACATTATTACTGTAGAGCAGGGGTGTCAAACTCGCCGTGACACGTGATGTGTCACGACATATGTGACTTTTCCCCTTGGGGAAAAGGGGTGGGTCTGGCTTCCGTGTGACACATCCGGCCCACGGGCCGGCAGTTTGACACCCCTGCTGCAGAGCAAAAGAATAAGCTCTTCTCATTTCAAGTTGGGCTTATAGGGCAACTAAAAATATTTTCTCTTTTGCGAATCAATAAAGCTTCTACATTAGTTTATCTGTGTTTCGGATATTGGAGGAAGGAATTCATCTATTCATCTGAAAATTCAGTTTCCTGCTTCAGAGTTTATGTCCTCTTTCAAAGTGTGGCTTTTCCCTACCACCTCAAAGGAAATTTGATGGAATTATAGTTGGTAGAGATGTGTGCATGTACTAGAAGTTTCCTACTCAAGACAATCAGGTTCAAGCTTCATGGAAGCAAGAACATAGGCAAGCAAAAACAATCAAACAGTGAATTAATTATAAAGTTCCTTCTTTGGAAAGGCCTGTGTTTTTTAGTGAATTGTGAGATATAGATAAAGTTTAAAAAGTTGATACATTTATGCCTCGGAAATGTTTTACCAAAGCTCTACCAAATCTTTTAAATTGATAGCAGTTGCGGGCCCACTATATGAGGGCATTCACATGAACTAGTTAAAAGTTTGGATAATTTTTTGCTAAAGTTATTATTTATACTGTATAAATACTGTATAAAATATTTTAGCATTTTATGTTGATCTGATGATGTTTTTATCTCCTTCTTGTAGAGAATACGAAGAAAATGGTAAAGTGAAGAAAGAAACAAAATATTCTTACAGTAAGTTTGCTAATAGAAAAATTTGTCTCATAAAACAATCACTGGGTATGGGCTTAATATTAGGCAGCTGTTCTCCAGCTAGGAAAGAGCTGTCCTTGCTGCTACAAAAAAGGATGGTGAGAGTTGTCTGTTGAATTTCTACTGTCATGTAGCTGTTATAAGGGAGAACCACTGAAAAAGTTACCAATTTTATCTTTGTCACTGTGAACGGGAAACACTATTATTTTTATTGCATTTGCATTCTCTATGATCTTTATGAAATTCAAAATGAAATAAGCAGTTAATCTTTTCAGGTGATTATAAAATGCTAAAGGAAACAAAAATATATTTTCCTTTTTAGCCATTACCGGTATTTATCTTATGCCAAGATTAGCTGAATTTCAGCACTTGTAGCCCACAGAAAGCAAGTTTTCATTGGATTTTATTCATAAGAGCCGTGGTGGTGCAGTGGTTAGAATGCAATACTGCAGGCTAATTCTACTACTGCCAGCAGTTCGATTCTCATCAGCTCAAGGTTGACTTCCATCCTTCTGAGGTCGGTAAAATGAGGACCCAGATTGTTGGGGGCGATATGCTGGCTCTGTAAACCGCTTAGAGAAGGTTGTAAAACACTGTGAAGCGGTATATAAGTCTACATGTTATTGCTATTGCAAGATCATAGAATTGAAAGGTGGCTTGACCATCATCCTGTCCAAGCCTCTCCTTTGGGAAGTACCTGCTTCAAACAGTGGTTATCTCTATTTAAAAATCTTCAAGTGTAAAGGAATGTGAGAATAACCTTGGAGGATGGTGATGTGGGGAAGAGATGTTGTCTTCCTGTGTAGAAGATATATGTTATTTTACTTTTTCTCAGTGCTCTTCTGCAGGCTACATTTACTTAGTCTCATTAACTGTTCCTAACCAGACTCAGTTTCCAATCCTTTCACCATCTTCATTCTACTTTGTTATTGTTCATTTTAAACTGTGGTATCCAGAATTACTGTAGAGTCAATATTGAAAAATTTAGTGTGGGAAAATTATTTTTCTTGATCTGGATTCTGTGCTTCTGTTAATAAATCTCAAAATAGCATTTGTCCTGTATTTGTGTCTGTTCATGAACAGCAGAATCTGAGAAAAAAAAACCATAATTAGCATGTGCTTAGAGAAGAATTCTGCCTGCGGTGTTCAGCAAGACCCATTCCCATATAAGAGCATAAAGAATTATAGGGATAGTGGGAAATATTCATGATTTGTAACACCTGGGATGTTTTCCAGCAATCAGGATAGTATTCTTCATGTTTTTATTTCTGTACTCCCCTTTTAGATACAGAATGGAAATCAGAAGTTGTGAACAGCAGAAATTTTGATCGAGAAATTGGACATAAAAACCCTAGGTAAACTTGATAGTATTCTATACTGTGGCTCTTCTAATACTGTCCTTAGAATTCTACACTAAGAATTAATAAATAAATTAAGCTTATCTTCAGAAGTTGTAAGTGCTTCCTCATTAGAGATTTTTAAGAAAAGACTGGACAACCACCTATCTGAAATGGTATAGGGTCTCCTGCTTCAGCAGGGGGTTGGACTAGAAGACCTCCAAGGTCCCTTCCAGCTCTATTCTGATTGATTGATTAATCTGAATAAGATTTCTAACTGATTCACAAGATTGTATTCTGGAAATTAAACAAAGTGGTAGGATAACAAATGTTATACGTATGGTTTTCTGGGTTGGTATACATTCACACTTGTTGTTTTGTTTGGAAACCCTGGAGTACATTTTTGTGGTGTTTAATAGCTAGAAGATTTGCTAATTCTTTTGTGCTTTTGTGTCTACCATGCTAAAATTCATCTGGTAATTCTTTTTGTCTGTGCAGTGCCATGGCTGTTGAATCTTTCACTGCAATTGCTTCTGATGTTCAAGTTGGCAAGTTCTTCCTTTCCAGAGGTATGAAGTTTGGATTCGAGATATGTCTAAATATACAGCATGCATACTAAGTTATACTTAACAAGGGAGATAAGGGGAAAATCCTCCTAACTTAGTAACATTTGGAAGACTAGCTAAATAAATTTTAATTTAAATCACAGTTTTCCAGTTCCCATGGGTTTAAATTTTATGGAGCAGATCACAAGACAGTATCAAAATATCTCATGGGCTTTTGGAATAAATGCCATGTTCTAAAGCATGGTATAGTTATTCTATGCATGGGATATTTTGCATTCTTATCTGGATGTTAGCTAAATCTGTCTGTAAGTTCTTATGGTCTGGCATGCTGCTCCCCACCACATGGCTACTTTTTCTCTTTTAGTTTTGCATAATGAGGTAGGAGAGTTAAGGAATCATAGAAATAAAAGCTATTTTTAAGCTGTTGAGTTGAACTCCTGCTCTGGGCAGGAATCAAGCGTCTTTGACATATGGACTTTTAAGCTGTGCAAGAACACATTCAGTGAAGGGAAATCCACTATATTTCTGGGTGGTTGTTTCTGCAGTTGAACTATATTTACCATCAGCAACATTTTTCTAATATTAACTAAGAATCTTGTCATTGTTTAATTTAAGACAGTTATTCCATGTCTGATGCTGTGGGATGATAGAAAATAGTTCTTAGCCTTCTTTTGTATGGCATTCATTTGGGTACTTGGAGTGCTATCATATTCCTCCTTGGTGCCCATGTTCTTTTATTTTTCTTCATTGGAAGAACTTGGAAAGTTTGTTAGATGGAGTAGAATGAGGAGATTTCTTGTATGAGAGCATGAAGGATGGCCCCATTTGGTCCAAGCTATGGCCATGCCCATTTTATGCTGTGGCCCTACCTCCTGAAAGAACAGGGCTTCATTGAAGTTTCCCAATGATGCCATAAATCTCAAGCAAAAATGATTTCTTATTCCTACTTCTACTTTTAGGCCTCATTGAGAAGATTAATAATTTCAAGCAGATGAGCCTATCAAAATTGGAAGACCCTCACGCAGATGTGATCCGCTCAGGGGATTACTTCTTTCATAGTGAGAATCCACGACGTCCAGAAGTAAGAAATGGAAGAGGAAAATAAACAGTAAACAATTGTCCCCCCCTTCCCCCAATCCCTCTGCATTGCACTTTTAACTTTGTCATATCCTTTGAGGATATGACAAATCTGAGCTCAGAGAATATGAGAATCTTAGATATAAAATCTCCATTGGGAATCTTTAGTTGCCCAACAAGTTTTTTTGTTTTTCCTCTTTTCAGGTTGGGGATCTTCGTGTTTCATTCTCCTATGCAGGTTTGAGTGAAGACTTATCACGCACAGGTCCACCAGATATGGTAAATGTTCCATATCTCTTCAAGACCTTCTCATGTAATTAGATAAAGCTCTCCAATGTTAATGTGCAAATTTCTTTAATTTCTCACCTCTGCCCCTTTTCAGGTGACCATAGTTGCTCGCCAGCAAGAAGATCACTTAGTTCCATATCAAACTAAATCTGGGGATGTCTTAAATATTCTCTATCCCGGAGAGCTCACAGCTGAGGTAAGGGTTACAGATCAGTAGAGGGAGAGTAGTAGAGAAGAATTATACATTGTCTGTTTGCTTAAATAAAGGATGGGAGAACAGCTGTTACATACACACACACACACACACACACACACACATCCTCTTGAATTATTGCTTAATGGAAAGGTCGTAGCTCAGGTAAAGTTCATCATTGCAAATAAAACAACTCTGATTCAGTTTCTGGCAGATCTAACTCCAGATGGTGAGAGTCTTCTCTGAAAATCTAAATGGCTAAACTACATTGGCAACCCTAGTAGGCAGAATGGAGCTTAAATAAAGTGGACCAGTGTGAGTTAGCTTCCTATAAAGCTTTCCTCCAGTTCTATTGTTGGAATTTGGTCCTGGTCAGTGTAGATGTTTCATTTGTAGATATTTTTCCAGTTCAAAAAATGAATCCATAGCCTTGCTCTCTCATATTTTTCTCCCCAAAATGCTGTAAGTTAGCAGTGTAGATCAGTTTGTAGAGATATCGTTTTGATGGATTAAAAAATCTTTTAAGTCTCTGTAAAAAAAAAATAACACTTATGGACAATGAAAAGGGATGAGTGTATAATGTTTTGCATGTCAAGAATGGCACATGGGCCTTGCAGAGCGTCTCAGGGATTGCTTGCAGGGTGGAAAAAGAGGAAAATTAGTATGTTCTAAGTAAAAACTATTTTTCTTAAAATTCTACCTACATGAGTCATAACCTGATTTTACCCGTATCTCGTTCTTCCATCTATCTTATCCTGTCTTAAAAATATTGATCTGAAGTTCAATTGCAGTTGAAAATCATCATAAATGCTCCGATAAGGCCATGAGAACAAAACTGACAATATTTGCTTCTGTTTTCAACTAATCAAATTAGTTAGTTTTAAATATGGTTTGTCAAAACATTTTCAAATTATAGTTATAGCCTAGGGTTGTTCAGGTAACATTCCTCTTAGGGATATGATGGCAGATTATGGAGGGGAGGGGAATAGGCACAGGCCAATAATGTTAGATTAAACTTTGGCACTGCGTCCAGTTGCACTGTGTATCCTGCTGATCAAAAGTGTTATCATAACTGGATGTTGATAAGACACCAAGTATATGACTGGAAGTGCTAACTAAATATCAAATACATTTTAGGAAGTATTTCAGAAAGAGCACGAGAGTAACAGCATGAAGACCTGGGGCTTACGTGCAGCTGGATGGTTGTCTATGTTTTTAGGCATCAGCCTTATGACCAGAATTATTTATACCCTGGGTAAGTGTTGCTACTGTCCCCTAGTTTGATTTATAAATAAAGGACTAATCAGAAGTTGTACTGAAGTACCTTTGGGTCTAAGAAACATAGTCATAAAGATTTTCCTTTCTTGTGCTTGTATTAAACAAATGCTCCAAGAGATAGAAGGTATTTCAGTAGTCTATGGGAGGGAAGGCAATTAGTTATTTCAGCACTGCGTTACAGGAAAGATGTGTTTCTATAAACTATGAAAATAGAAAACTCATCAAAGCTAATTAAAGCCTGTAGTTAAGATGGGAATTGAATACTAATACTATTCTTTATTGTTCAAGTGTTGAAAATGTATTTAGGTAAAAATCTGGGATTTTTTTTTTTTTGTACTTTAATGGTCTGTAGTCTGTAGAGACGAAAATTTCAGTGAAATCAGTAGGCATTGGATTGGATTTAAATCAGATTTAGTTTGGAAGTATTTTATAAGCTTGCCAATCAGTTGTTTGTTTGCTTTTTATTTTTCCTCATTACAGTGGATTGGTTTCCAGTTGTCCGGGATCTGGTTAACATTGGTTTGAAAGGATTTGCCTTTTGTTTAGCCACTTGTCTCTCATTGCTGACCATTTCAGTGGGCTGGTTCTTCTATCGGCCCTTCTGGGCAATATCGATTGGTTTGTTGGCTGTAATTCCCATTCTGATTGCAAGATCTCGGGTTCCACCAAAGAAACAGCAGTGACATCGTGGAGGAAGCACCTTCTTTGTACCCACATGTCTTTGGAAACTTCATACATTCAATGCTTTCATCAGATTTGAAGAAAGTGCCATCATGGCTATTTTTGCTCAAAACAAAACACTTCTTCATATTGCAGTACAGAAAATGCAACATCGGTGTGTTCTATACTGGTTCTAGATATGCCACTTTCATTATGCAATCCAGGGGTAAGGAATTAAGTGTTTCTGAATTACAGCTCCCAGGAGCTCGATAGCATGGTCAGGGGTACTAAGATCCATATATATTTAGACCAGGCCTGCATAGCCGGTAGAAAAGACCACATTGATAAATTTAAAATAAGTACAGGGCACAAATAGTAATAGTAATAGCCCTTAGACTTATATACCGCTCCATAGTGCTTTACTGCATCTCTGGATTGCAGCATGAGGTTGCTTGGCTGGTCAGATGCTGTGCAGGCCTGATCTAAACATTGACAGGTTTCATACTCAATGGAAACAAATGAAAATGAGCATCTTCCTCAATTTTGGGAAATAGAAAGTTGAACGAAATGTAACAAGGCCAAGCAGATTAGGATTTCTAAGCAACTTATTTAAAACGTCTTCCAATCTTCATGGAGAATAGATGTATAGATTCAATGGGGATCATATGAGGCTTTGAGTAAATCATTGTAATATTAATCTCCTATTCCTTATCTATAACTTCATATATTATAGTTTCACTGCATGCAACGTTTTGAAGTTTTTGTGATATTTCACTTATCTTCATTTTTGTTGTTCTTACTATCCTGTCTGAATTATCACATAGATAACTTACCCTATCTGTAACACCTTGAATTATATGTGGATCAAAGTAACTTACACTGCTCTGGTATTGCTATGATGCTGTTTATATTACTATATTTAGCATTATTGTATCTCAGTCTTATGATTTATTCTTATCCCATGCTTATCCCACTAAGTTAAATAATTTATGATCTCAGGTGGATTTTTTTTAACCTGTGACTTGAGAATTGTTTCCTGAACCAACTCAGTAATTTACTGATGGTTTCATGAAGAATTATGATTTTTTTTTAAAGACAAAACCAAAGATATATCCAGAGGGAGAAGAGACTTTCTGCTGTTCACATAACTTGCTCTATGGGCAAATTAATATATTTGTTTTTTACTGAAAAATTATGTAGAAATAGGGTTGGGTTCTCAATGTACTGATGGTACTCTGGCAAAAAAATTATTTGAAGCCTGCCCAATTTCAGAAAAAAACCCCCAGAGTGCAACACTTTAGAATTGGGTTCTTTAAATCTGTACAAGTTTGTAAATTTGTTGATTTTGTCCAGACAAAGAACATTACCTGCTTTGTATATAATGCTAAGGTAAAATGGTTAACTTACACGTTATGAAAGCAAATGGATTTCTTTAAAACTAGGACTGAAAGAATATGTTAACAACTACCCATAGCCTAGCCCAGAATAGTTTTTTTTCCTATAGCTTCAATCGCTGCTTTTTCTTGGTTCAGAACTGTAGATTGTGCAATCTTCAATTCAATTGGGACTATTTTATAGAGACTCTGAAGCAGTCAAAAAGCCCCGTTGCAAGCCATTATTGCCAACGAGATCCATCCAAAAACATGGATTAGGTGGAAACCTTTTATATGGATGCAATCTACCTAGATAGATAAGCTCTGATACTCTTTATTTAAAATAATTGTCAGTATTATTCTCAATTCATTATTACAGGTACATTGAAATAGTTTAAGAGCAACAACTACGCCAAAGCTCTAGAAGTAAATAAGTTTATTAGCATCATCTGGATCTACCGTTTTCTTGAATTTAGGATTCCAAACTTAAATTTGGATTCATTGGTCTGGTGCTATCTAATGTCATTTCACTATAGTCTAGTTATAATTTGCCATTGCCATAGAGTTATTCATCATTTTGTTAAGATGTCAATTGTATCACTGGGGCAGAATGAAGCATGGTGGCTGCTTCCAACTAAAATCTAAGTTTGTATTCTTTATTTTTACAATATCATTTGTAAAAGTTTCTATGGATGCAAATGCCTATTTTCTATTTTATGAATAAAATTCAAGAAAAATATATGATTTGTATGTATGTTTTGAAATCACAGTTCACTATTAAGGGTAAGAGAATTAAGAATTGGAAGGTACCATTTAGATCAGGGGTCCCCAAGCCAAAGCCCACTACTGGGCCACGCCGGGTTTGGAACTGGGCTGTGCGAGCCGATGGGACGCTTGTGCTGGCGTGCGTAGCTCCATTCGCGCAAGCAGTGGGCGCTTGCACTGGCACATGTAACTTCATTTGCATGAGCAGCAGGCACTTGAGCTAGTGCGCAAAGCTCCATTTGCATGAGTGGCAGGTCCTTGTGCTTGCGCATGAAGCTCTATTAGCGCCTGCTGCTTGCACAAATTGAACTGTGCATGTGTGCTTGCCTGCCCCTTGCACAGACCCATCCCCTCCCCCCCCCGGGGCCACCAAGCTGGAAAGGTTGGGGACTGCTGATTTAGATCATCAAATACAAGCTCATGTTTAAGAATCCAGAATAAAGTATCCCAACAGATATCTGTCTAGCCTGTTTCAAAACATCTGGCAAAGGAACATCTGCCATCTGGGTTAGCTTTCTCCATAAAATGTTCTTACTGCTAGGAAGCTATATCCTAGCATTCCGTTGGAATCAGTTTTCCCCTAATTTAAAATCAGCTATTCTGTATCCTGTATTCAAGAACAAGACCATCCTATATGTGACATCCTTTTAAGTTTTTGAAGAGTGCAATAATTTTTCCCTTCAATCATCTTTTATCTTACAAACATCCACCTCTATCAATGTCTATTCATAGGACTTAGTTTCTGATCTTTTTAGTCTTCTCTGTTCCTTTTCCATTGTGAATCCTTCAAATGTGGTAACCCAGAATTGGACAAAGTAATTGCAGCAGAGGCCTGACTAAAGAAGGATAAAATGAAATATTACTGTATTTTTCAGATTATTTTTTTAAAAAGATCTACTTTAGATTTAGAACATTCTAGTTTAATAACTTAAGACATTCCTTGCAAGGGAGGCAGACCTCTGACAGGAATATTGCTACTTATGAGATACTTGGAAAGCATTTCAACTTTCTTGACCCAAAGTATAACAGAAGCTAATTCCAGAGCAAAATTCATAACTACTGGGACTGTCAAAATGTTTTTAAGGAGAAAAAGGAGGTTCTGAGGGGGAAAAACACACCAAAAATGTTAAAATCTTTAAAAACATTACTTCAGCAATTAAAAATAAAGCTTTTTTTAAAAAAAAAGTTCCTGTTCTTATATTTGTGTTTAATTCTCTAAGTTGTTAGCATTTACTGAAAAAAAAACCCCAGCTTGAAATAAACTCAATATATTGCCATTGCATTCTGCTGTTTTTCCAGAACAAGTTAAAAGTTCTGGTTATTATATAAAAATCCACCACAGTAGTGGATTGGGCTCCATCACGGACAACTTGACCAAGCATAATTCAAATATTGAGTGGGCCTGTTAAGATTCCCTCTGCATATGAGGTAAAGGCAGTACAGGCTCCCAAGGTAGGGCTGCTTAGTAATGGCCTTCACATTTTGGAACATGCCCCAAAGCTGCCCCTGGCCTGACCACCCTTATGTTCTGAAAGGTCTTTAAAACCATGTTATTTCAGGAAGACTTTAGCTTGTAGGGAGACTGTGGAAGGCTAGTATTTTCCTTTTCCAAAAGAAGATCTCCTAAATTGCTCATATGAGATGGGAATCTACGGTAATAATAATCAAGTATGAGGGTGGAGGTCCGTTCTCCGAGGTTGTGAGTTGGTTTCCGAACGTTTCATTACCAGGCTAGGTAACAACTTCAGTGGAGTTTAGGGGATGTTAAAACTCCTAAACTCGGGTGAAGATGTTATCTAGCCTGGTAACAAAATGTCCAGAAACCAACCCACAAGCTTGGAGAATGAACCTTCACCCTCATCCTATACCCCAGCTACAGATATTCGCCACTATGTTCAACTATCTAAATATGCAAATGACAATCTTAGGAAAAGGACTGGTGCTCAGGACTCAAGTTTTTATTTTTTACCCAAGATTCAGTATAATCTTTTTTCTCTGAATAAATTTAAAATGCCCAAATTAATTCTGGTCACATCAAATGGATGAAGTTTATGACAGAATCTTCTAAAATTGCTTTGAGTAATAAAGCTGTTATAGTTTTTGTTTCTTTTGCACAATGAAGTGTGCATTGGTAAAACAGTCAAACTAGTACACTAAGCAATTAAGTAATTGCACTATGATTGAACATGTGGCGGACTGCAAGCCTTTTCTGCAATAAGTCCCACTCAGAATGCATCATTCGCAATATCTAAAGTTGGAATTTGTTGCATGATCAATACACAAAGAAGTAAGACTCATGAGAGTTTTTTGTGATGATATAAAAGGAAAAGGCGATAGGAATAAATCCAGCTTGACTAAAAAGGAGGTATCTTCTGCTCAATTATCCTATACCCATTTATTAGCCTACTATTCACATTGGTTTCCTTTGTAAAGTTGAATAGAAGCTGTTAAACCTATAGTCATTTCCTATAGATTCCCTCATTCCCATTAGAATTTTTTTTTACATATATAATACAATTTAAGCCCAGATTTACTACTGCAATATGTGTGTGAGTACACATACATGTTCCTTTCATAAATCTTCCCGGAAACTCATACGCCTAGTTTGTTAACAACTTTGCAACAAAATGAGGCAAAGCTTCCCAAGAAAAGGAATATATTTGAAGGTATTAAGATCTGACATTGTACTTTGCTCCAACATCAGTGTTCTTGCTGTACCTCTATCAGCAGCACCTTAAAAGAAAATGTGACTATCAAGAATCTAGGAAAAGTAGATTCTTTAAGGTGCCACTAGCCAATATAAACGTATAGTAGGCATCCAGCAGTGGGTCCAGACCAATTTTCCTGCTTCAAATCCAAGTCCTCCATACATCTTAGGAATGCAATATTAGAAAAACTGGTTGGAGGTTTCCTGAGTGTTTTTAGCTATTCCTGCTGGCAGGAAAGGTTCAGTATGAATGTGCGTTGGAGGAACATAAAAGTGCTTCCTTGTTCATGCTAAGACAGGAATCTAAAGAACCCAAATCTCCTTGTCACAATTTCTCAAACGGGAACAAATGTTTTGCTTCTCCTTTCTTTTCTCTCTTGCTCTTTCTGGTTGTTTTTCCTTTTTCACTCTGTTCCTCAGCTTGCCGATTTTGGGGCCAAGAAACAGTCATATCTTCAGCAGGTGTTTCTGAATTTGGTCCTTCATCATCATCGGTTGAGAAACCAGACTCCCCTTCCACCATGACTCTTGTCTCATTCTGGAAGAGAAAGCGTTTAAATATTTCACTGATGCTGTGGAAGAACTTTCCCTTTAACGGAGGGCGCAGTGACAAAACTAGTAATTGACATTACAAATGCTGTACAAATACACATATACAGAACTTATGTTTTCAGATTTCAATAGTCCTACTGTATCTGGAAAAAAAGACGAACCAGCAGAATGCAAACATTATCAAAATACTTTGCATGAAATGCTATGAAAAAAGAGAACTCTTTTTCCCCCCTATTATTTTGGCTCCATTTGTCTGAAATGGATGACTATACTTCTTTCAACAAATAACATATGCTTTACTGTCAAAAGCCACTTAAGGTTATCATAAAATAGTTCCATTAATATTCATATTGTTGACAAAATTTATGATTGAACCCACTGTTAGGAATACATGCAATCCTATTCAAGTATGCTCTAAAAGCCACGATAAATTCAATTATCTCTTTCTTTCAGATAACTTCAGATAAACAAGTAAAATATTCAATTTAATATTTATACATCAAGAAATAATGCCATTATTTGTCATTTCAAGAGTAATAAAAATGTATTATTTCTATGTAGGAAGTACTTGTTCAAATGCAAAGTATATTTACATATATTTCTTAAAAGTATGTTTACATATATTTCTTAAAAAGTATTTTACTTCAGGTTATATCTTCAATTTTAAGAAATCTATACTAACATTTTGTTCTTTTTCCAATCTGGGCACGAACCCGTGTCCAGTTGGCCTTGAATAACTTCATATTTGTCACCTGTTGTTGTTGTTAGTTATATTACACCAATGTTTTGTTACCTTGGTAGAATAGCGCTTCTTTAATCTCTCTTTGATCAGAAGTCCCTTCACCAGCAGTTTCCAATTTCCCAGCACTCTCTTCTCCCGCTTCTGTTTTTAAAGTTCACCCAGAATTAAAACCAAAGAGCACATACTCATTAACACTGTGGTTGGCAAAGTAGCATTTCTACACATTACAGTATCTGTGGCAGCCTCAAATAGCATCTATGGCAGTGGTGGCGAACCTATGGCATGCATGCCAGAGGCGGCACTCAGAGCCCTCTCTGTGGGCACACGTGCCATGCCTCGGAGATGGCAACCGTCCCTCTTCAACCAGCTGCCCGCTAACTTGCCGAGGTCCCACATGGCTGGATGCATCCCAGCATGGCTGGTTTCCCTCCCCCCGTCCCATCCCTCCTGGTCTCGCATGCTCTCCTTTTCCTGGGCACGACCCACTGGATCACCCCCTCAGCTGTCGGCTGTCCGTCCAGCTCAGAGGCGGCTTCTCTGAACTGTTAGCGGCGGCTGCGGAGCCCCAGAGTGCGCCGGTCGAGGGGCCGGCAGGCTGTGGCTGCTGACAGATACTGTTGGCCCCCATGTGCTCGCTGGCCTCTGTGTGCGGGGGCCGATGGTGTCAGGCAGCAGCTGCCCCGGCCCCTGCGTCACCTTGCCCTGCGACAGTGGCACCCCCACCCTGCCTCGCCTCGCCTGCAGGACAAGCCTCCTGCCCACCGCCCCACCTGCCAGAGACCCCCTGGATCTCCCCCAACCCTGCCCCCACAGGATCCCTCCCCACAAGCAACATCGAGGTGACCATGCCCACCTTGGCCACACCCACCCAGTCTGCCATGACCACAGCCGCGCCCACCCAGTGGGCCACACCCACCTGGCACCCGGCGATAAATAAGTGGGTTTTGGGTTGCAGTTTGGGCACTCAGTCTCTAAAAGGTTCGCCATCACTGATCTATGGGAACCCAAAATTAGATCAACATTTGAAAAAAAATAATCTTCTGAACTTTAATGAGGGAGGAAGAAGGAATTCTACATGTACATGGTAAGATGTGGTAAACAGAGAAATGTTGCAAGGACTGAATCATTGAGGACAGCCGTATAAGAGTCTTATAAGAATGGGTAGTCTTCAAAGATTAAATGGTAAATTATATAAATTTATTATGCCCTCCAGTTGTGCTGAAACAAATAGAATAGAATAGAATAGAATAGAATAGAATCTGGAAGGGACCTTGGAGGTCTTCTAGTCCAGCCCCCTGCTCAAGCAGGAGAACCTATACCAGTGATGGCGAATCTTTTAGAGACTGAGTGCCCCAAAACTGCCCAACTCATTTTGTTGGAGAGGGCCCATTGTTCAAGTTTGTCAAGATCTTTTTGGATCCTGAGTTTGTCTTCTGGAGTGTTGGCTACTCCTGTCAGTTTGGTGTCATCTGCAAATTTGATGAGTTCCCCTTCAATTTCCTCATCTAAGTCATTTATGAAGATATTGAAGAGTACTGGGCCTAAGACAGAAACTTGTGGTACCCCACTGCTTACTTCTCTCTATGTGGATGTAGTGCCATTGAGGACTACTCGTTGAGTACAGTTTGCCAGCCAGCTACAAATCCATCTGGTGGTGATGTTGTCTATTCCACCTTTTTCTAGTTTACCAAGGAGTAGGTTATGGTCTACTTTATCATATGCCTTACTGAAATCTAAGTATACTACATCCACAGCATTTCGCTGGTCTACTAGTTTAGTCACTTTATCAAAGAATGAAATAAGATTGGTTTCACATGATCTGTTTTTAATAAACCCGTGCTGGCTACTAGTTATGACTTTGTTTGCTTCTAGTTGTTCGCAGATCTGTTTTTTTATTATCTTTTCTAGGATCTTCCCAAGTATTGATGTTAATCTGATTGGTCTGTAGTTTCCTGAGTCTGTTTTTTTCCTTTCTTGAAGATATTTCTAAATCATTGTAACCCTTACAAATTTGGAGGACACCAGGCTAGAAAATGCTGTCAAAAGCTGCAAAAGTATTAACTATCTGCAGATCTGTAATTAAATTCGCCAGTCATTTAGCTTGGTAATGCTACTGAATGTTAGCAGTTCACCCCTCTCCCCTTCCCCTAATAAAGACTTCAAAGTGATTCTCACCTCTTTTTCCTTCTTCTCCCTTTCTGACTCTTCGTTCTCCCAGGCTGCAACAAGCACTTCTTTGTACTCTTCACAGATTACATAGCCTTCTGTGCTGTGAAAAGGATCCAGGTTGTCATTTATGCAGAGTTGGAACAAAATGCAATCCAGGGACTTGTGTTTAAATGGGCTTAGCACTGGGCAACAACTTTTGGCCTTCCAATTGTTGCTGAATTCCAATTTATCCTTGGGCAGGCAACAGTGAGAGACGCTGAGACGTTTCAACATCTGGATGGCCCCAAATTCCCCATTCCTCCAATAACTTAAACACCAGTCCGTTCAACAACATTTGGAAAACTAGATGGAAAGTACCCAGGAACTCGTGAAGGGCTATAACTCTATTCATAAATGAGTAACTAACAAAGCTAGGAAGGAATGTTAATTGCTTTAGCATCCTCACCTGAATGATATGGATATAAAAATATTAAATAAGCATGGGTAAAAGAGGAGCCAGGTTAATCCACCTTTGTAAAATGGATGGCAATGAGGGGAGCAAGTGCTGAGTTCTTACTATTTTGGACTAAGCAACTAAGCTGCCAATTCTGCTTTTCTGCAATACTATCACTAACCATGTATGCTAAGTAAATCCAACAGCATTACTAGGTAGCACAGAAGATCATTGTATATCCTAGTAAAACCAGATCATAAGTTTATGACTTACACGGGATGAGAGTAACCACCATGAAAATCAAATCCTGTAACAGCTGGAACGCAGTCAATATCCAGTTTACGGGCCACTCTATGAAGGTTAGGAAGCTTTAGCAGCACACAGCCTATTGGTAACATGCTGGGTTGGAAGAGATAGACATTCCCAAACTCATTCCGAGGAACCTAAAAGAGAAGTGGAATGGGAAAAAAAATTGGAAATAAACTCTGTGGGAGAATAGAGTTTTAAACCTACCCAGTCTGCCTAATTGCCAGCTTACCCTTCCATCCACAGCCAGAGGTGGCTGGTATTTCTCAGTCTGCCAGAGACCAAACAACGGCAAATCCTTTTTGTCCCGATTTGCAGGTTCTGTCATTCGTGCTTTTCTTGCTTGGTTGGAATAACCTATCACCATCTGTGCAAACACAACAGAGTTTAGAGTGTTGTCATCATTCTTTCTTGCTCATAATTCTCCAAGCAATGATCACAGCCTCTTCCTTATGGAGAAACATGTAGGAATCGGCCTATCTCTTTAGGAGTAAGAAGTACTTAATCTTCTAACATCTCCCTTGCAATATTTGGCCATAAAAGTCCATTAAACCAGGTTAAGTAGCATTGAGTCTGTTTATACTAGTAAATCTGTAAACGCTTCTTACTCTGGTCTACCTTTTGGTTTGACAATCAAGCCTCTAATGTAGGGGTCTTCAAACTTGGCCCTTTTATGACTTGTGGACTTCCCAGAATTCCTCAGCCAGGCACGCTGGCTGAGGAATTCTGGGTGTTGAAGTCCACAAGTCATAAAAGGGCCAGGTTTGAAGACCCCTGCTCTAATGGATACAACAGTAGGAGAAAGCTATCACCTGTGGAATTGTGTAGCATCTATTGTAGTTAGCCACAAAAAAACCAAAACAAAACACAGAAGACAGGCAAAAGAATCCTTTAATTTGGCCTCAAAGAGCATTTAAAAAAAAATAATTCTTCAGTTTCCAAAGTTTTATACATATTCCCTACCACAAATTTCAACATTAGCCCAAAAATATTGTTGATATTGCTCTACCTTATAAGGCACTTCCCCAATCCTCACCACTCGAGCTTGTTTCAACCAAGTGTCCTTGGAGTGCAGCGTATGGATACAGTCTCTGAAATTACCCAAATACCATTCTTGGTAAATAATATAGCTTCATACAGATAATGTTCACAATAAACTACATATTAGATAATATACTAGATAATATGCACAATATACCATAGAGGTACACTACTAGAACAAACTCAATATACACTTTGTGCTATTTGTGCTATGGAGGGAATTTCTTTACCCTTTGACCCACTCACACCCTTTCCCCCATGATAATGTGGATATATTTTGAATATTTTAATTTTTAAAATAATCATTATCTTTCTGATGTAGTCTTAGTAAAAAAAAACCTCCTGAATATTATACTACATTATATGAAAGTGCAAGTGGGTTATGGACTGCATTTACAGTGAATATATTTACAAGTACTTTTTTGACATTTAGTATTTCTAAATCCATACCAACTGGAAAAGAGTTGGAAGAAAGTGAATGCAGGATCACACAAAGGCTGCCTCACTTTCCTCTGAATGCTTGCTTGCAAGAAATTCCCATATTGTTTAATGTAAGGATGGGAAACACTGGGGAAAAATAAGCATAGGTGGACTTTCCTGACAAGCAGAAAAACAGGTTTCATGTATGCACTCTGAGTAGCCCCATCTATGCCTAGTATCCAACTCAAACCTTCTTACAGAAGGGGAGAAGAAAAAATAAGATTCATTTTAGGAGGGAAAAGCCAAGTGATGAAAGGGATACTGGCTTCATACCCACAAATACCAGATTTGTCCGTCCTATGTAATTTGTAGAAACAAGCTATGGCTTCTAGTGATAGACAGCCAAGGCCCTCTTGGGCCTCAAACAGCCAACTCTGGCCTCACTTTTTCAATGAAGGTGAGTAGATGGAAATTTCTTCTGTGCTGAATTGCACTCTTGAAGTTCAGTCAAGTTTGGGAATAGATAAGGGAACTCTTTGTACCTTGATAGATGAGTAACATTCACTGTGGGGAGTGCGAACATGGATCCTTGTTTAAATGTTTAAAATAAGTACCCTGTTTCCCTGAAAGTAAGGCCTACCCTGAAAATAAGCAAGGCACAAACCTAAAAATCAAGCAATGGTGGGAGCCCCGCCCGCCCAGTACCCACTTACCTGTCGGGCAGGCCTCTCCTTGCCTGCCCATTTCTTCTTCTGAGGCGTCTTCTGCAGCCAGGCCTGCATTTCTCAGCCAGGCCTGCATTTCTGGAAAGACCACTGCAGCCGAAAACCGAGCTATGGATTGAATCATAGCTCGGTACTCGGCTGCAGAGGCCTTCCAGAAAGGCCTGACTGCAAAATGCAGGCCCAAATGCAGCTGCAGAACTTTGGCCCCAGAAGACGTGGACCGGCTGGGTGGGGCTGTCAGTGCCGGAGGTGAGGTAAGGCCTACCCCAAAAATAAGACCTGGTGCCTCTTTTGGAGGCAAAAAAAATAATAAGATCCAGTCTTATTTTCGGGGAAACATGGGTAGTTGTAAGGTATTGCCAGTGGGACAATCTGATGCTCCCAGATCCATGTATCAAATGAAGCCATGTTTCACAGCACACACATCTGAGAAATGTCTCACCTGGAGTAGACAGCCTCCCCTCGGCAATATCCTATAATTGAAGCTGTCTCGGGATATATGGCCTCATACTTCAGGAGATGCCTCTTCAAGGCATAAAGCGGGTGATTCTTGTATTCACTGACGGATTTTGGCAAAGGCTGATTTTGAAGTTTAGCTACAAACTGAGAATCGTATTATTAGCAGTAGACTATAGAAGAAACCAATTACAAATATATTTTTCAGTTTTTGGAAGACTAGATAAAAGACAATATTGAGGCCAGGTATGTTAACACTGCCTCAGTGCAAAATTTAGCATTTAAATAACTATTAGAGACATTATCTAAGAATCATTGGCAACTCTACTTTTCCCAGAAGGGATCTCAATTTTGCTTGCTTTCACTGTGTGGATTATGATGGAAGCTACAGTAAGGAGTTTTGGTTCAAAGAAACGTGAGAGGTCAAGTCAGCTAAAACCATTTCTGGTATGAACTTGCCCAGGAGGCCTTCTTCTATATGGTTCCAGATTACAAATTGGTCTCCCTAAAGATGTGCATTTGATCCCCACTTTCCAGAATTTAGGAAAATGTAAACATTCATCTCTCCCCCCAAGCTTGTTAATTGATTTAATTGCACCTATGTCAATATCATCTTTTACATGCTTCGTAATTTTATTCTAGTTAATTTCAGCTGCCATAGTGCTTATACAAGCAGAAAGGTGGGGAATAAATTTAATCAATCAAATGTAGTACGATGTTGAATGAAAGTATCAATCCACTGGAATTTTATTGAAGATAAAACATATATGTTGGGTAACATCCAATTTGAAAAACAAAGAAATAAATACAAGCTAAAGAGTGTTGCTCACTTGATTGCTACATATAATTTCTGAAGTCTGAACACTTCTCATTTTCATACACTTCTCATAATAGATTGGACAACCATTTGTCTGAAATGGTATACGGTTTCCTACCTGAGCAGGGGGTTGGACTATAAGACCTCCAAGGTCCCTTCCAACTCTGTTACTTTGTTATTCTGTTATGATCAATGGAAATATGTCCTTTAAATTTGAGAATGTGCAGGTATTTTCTTCTTAATGGCTATGGGGGCTAAATAGCCAGTCATACTGAGGGATATCTAAAGAGGACAATTCACAAGCTCTGCTATCATTCAGCCAAGAACTGACTTGAATGGAAACTGAATAAAAGCAGATAACGTTTGAGTTAGTGGGTAGACCAAGAGGAACAGATTAGCTGAGGTCTTGGATAAAAGAAGCAGCAAAGCAGACCAAGGTAAAAGGAGAGAGCTCCGGGTTTTTGCAATCCAGGGATCTAAATCTATCAGAAAAGGATAAAGAAAAAAAATCAAGTCCTTCTGGGTGTAATTTTGATTACTGGAAAAATACCTTCCAGCGCCATTTTATTTACCTCTCTTTCTTCTTTTGTATCCCGTTCCACAAAAGAACTTTTGTACGGCTCTAAGGTATCTTCCCACCACTGGGCATCCACACGACACTTCCTTGTTGCAGTCATCCATGCTGGGTCGTATCTCTGTGTTATATCCTTTACAAATCCATTATCGTCAATGCCAATGATGTAGCACACTGGCTTTGAGGCATACTTGAAACATTCCAGAGGATGTCCAACATTGCCATGCATACAGTCCACACATACCCATCGATCTTCTCGCTCAAGAAAAACCTCTACCCACTGGTCTGTGCCTTTCAATACAACTGACCTCTGCTCTTCTTCTTCATCGCTAGAAATTATTTTGTTTTTCTTCTTGGGTGGGACTGAAGAACATGGACTGACTGTTTTGTCTACCGAATTACCAATGATCTCTGAGTCCTTCTGTCGTTTCGACAGAGAAGGCACTGATCGTTGCCTGTTAACAATTGCTTTTGTTTTCAGGGTTCCTAGCGTTGTTTTAGGGGTTCCTAGTGGTGACTTCATTTTTTTTCTAGGAATTTCAAAGTCCTCATCAGATATGCTACCGTCATCATTTTCCTCTGACGGACAGAATTCAGAATCATTATTCTCACTGTCTCCACTCTCTTCTTTATATGACACTTTTGATGCCACTTGCCGCCGTCGGTTATTTTTAGGCCTACCCAGCCCTTCTTCCGCCCTCAAACTCTTCTTATCGTTCTCAGATTTTATATCTTTCTGAACATCTTCCTGTGATGAAGATTTCTTCCTTAGCTTTTTGGCCCTAGAGACGCTTGGCTTCTTAGCAGTATCTGCTCTTGTGCATTTTCTTGAGCTTTTGGCAGAATCGGGCAACGTCCCAGAAGCTACCAAAACAGAGCTTTTCTTGGAGGATTTTCCCTGAAAAAAAAATATGCAGGAGAGTTGAAGATTTTAAGAGGCAAAAAGCAGAACAGGAAAATATGGATAGCTCCACTGAATTAAAATTCAAGTTGTTGACTTTAGACCAGGCCACAGTTTGACGGCCGGGAGCCCGGCCTGTGCAGTGGTCCTTTGGCGCGGGTGGGGTAACGACCGTTACCCCTTTTTCGAGGCTATACAACGCGCTGCAGTACACTGTAACGCTCAAACTGTACAGACGAAATCTGTTATTGGACGAGAATCTAATATAACCGACAAGTGTAGAATGTTGGGTTGTACTTAATGTCACGATCAATGGAGATGCTGGATCTGTGAATTGTGCTGTTTATTCCACTGGCACAGGGAGTCTCTGTAACAGAACTTCACCACTACCATTCCTCATCTTTCGGGACCTTTATGAAGATGAAGGACTTCAAATCTGGGACACCTTTCAGCTCCGTCTTAACCATAAAGACTAGAAACACAGTTATTGTTTTATAAGCAGACTTCTTCCCTTTTAAAAAAAAACATGTGTTATCTATATAAACTAGTTCTATTGCTAAGACAACTTTGCGAGTGTACCTCTCATCTGCAAGATCTGTAGTTGCATCTCTTTTTAGGCTATGGGCAGGGTAGTCTATGGCTTACCCTGCCTGCTTCCTACACACAGGCTACTGCCATATCATTTCTCAGCAGCAGTTTCTACATTCTGCAGATACTGAAACAGGAGCTACTGAAGAAAGCAGGGGAAATACAACCCAAGAGGTTATGTACAGTCATTCTTTACTTACAATCGGTCCCCTTAGTGACTGTTCAAATTTATAACGGATCTCCAAGGGGTACTTATAACTTGGTTTCAAAGTTCCAATAGCCCCCCTCTGGTCACATGACTGCATGTTAGATGCTCAGCAACTGCCTTACATTTACGGGTGCTTGCGGTATCATGCAGTCACTTTTTATAACAATTTTGCTGAAAACAAGCATTTACTTCTGATTTTCTACAAAATCAGCCCATAGCGAACCATTGGTGAACACTTTCATAACTACAGTGTTTGCTTAACAAGTTTAAAAAAAATAATAAAATCCGGTAGGTCACTTGGGTGACACATTTTATGACCATCACGACTTGCGACCATGATGGGCACTCACTACTTCACAGTCATTAAATTGAGGATTACTGTTTAACAATAGTTACCATTCGAAGAAATGACTAAGTACAATCTTATCTGACTTACAAACCATAGGTTGTCTGGCCTATTCCAGGAACTGTAGTTATCTCACTTTAAAATAATCTTAAATATATATATATTTGGATAGGCAGACCTGAAAGTTTTCTTTATTTCCAGAATAATAAGGAATTAATAAAGACTTGAAGAAATTAAGGAAAACAAACCAAAGTACATCCAGAAACATAAGCAAAAATATTAAAAATAGACACCAAACAGGATTACTACAAAGTAAGTGCTCAGGGAGGATCTTCTCCAGGAAAAACAAAGATAGCTATAATTTTGCCATACTTACCTTCCCTGATGGCTCTTTCAGCGGAATGGGTTGTAAAGACAATACAAGTCGGCAGAATAGATGAAGTGCTCGAAGAATAAGTAAAAATATCTATTAGGGAAAAAAAAAACCAGTTTGGAATCTGATTTTTGTATCTCTCCTTCCCCCATTCAGTGTTAACACTATTTACCCACAGGATAATTGCTGCAAATGTTTTGAAATCAAACAAATATATAATTTGTATATAATGTGTAAAGCAGGTTCCCCTCCCCTACAATTATGACAATTGAAGCCTTAATCTTTTTCCCTAGTACCATGAAAACTGCTGCACATCTTTGTGTATATGTGTGTGTGTGTACATACATACACTCAGATTCACACATGTATAATGTCCGATAAATTTCTTCTATGCTATGCTCAGCATAAAAACAAAGAATTTCCAGTAATGACATCAATGGCTAAAGGAGAGAGATGTGTATAGAAATCTCTGGAGGTCTGTCTTTCTTTTTGTATGTGAAAAATGCAAGCTTCCAGCCTCTACCTCCCTCACGTTATCCTTACTATGATTACAATATAGCAGGGATCCAGCATGCCTTGCAAAGCCTTCTATGACTTACCTGCACCAGTTCCGCCTCATCTCGTGCAGCATAGACAGCAAAGCGCCTCTCTAGAGTAACCCGCCAATCTTCACTATCGGAGAGCTGATCGTTAATAGTGAAAGTTGCAGAAAACCTTTATTTTAAGAACAAGAGAACCATAATGTATTTATTTGCCCAGTCATTTATCTTTCCCATGGAAGCTGGAATAGTGCGGCAGGGAAGCTATCTCAGTCTTACAGTTAAACTAAAAAGAAGACTCCCTCACACTTACTTCCTTATTCTTGGAGTAATCATAGTCACAGAAAGCCGAATTTTCCACGGATGGACCCTAAATTCATTTTAAAAAGAAATGGAAATGGAAAAAAAACAACCTTACCAATTCACAAGATTTGACAGAAACAGACGGTTGATGCGATCTACAGAGTCTTTGGTGAAGCGAATGGGAATGATAGAAAGCCCAATCGCTTGAAGATCTGGCTGAAGGCAGATCCTGTTCCTGTGGAAACCGTTGGCCAACAGGCACAGTAAGTGAACCTGTTGGGAAAAGGACATGGATCCTAAGAAAGAAAGCAGTCTTAGGGTACATCAGAGATACTGAAGTGTTTTTTACAATTCAGGGGACAGGCCCAATAGGGTTCAGCTCTGCTCCCCCCACAACACCTCACTGGTTGACAGAAGACAAAAAAGCCACCAGAAGCATAAATTTTAAGCGCCCCAATCATCCAGGTCACTGTACTGGTTAATTCCTATTAAAAAGTATCTCATTCCATTCTTTAGTCCCTAGGGCCTAGGCATACATCATCATTAATACCATGTATTAATACCATGTATTAATACCACTTTACAATGCTTTGGTAAGGCCACACTTGGAATACTGCATCCAGTTTTGGTCACCACGATGTAAAAAAGATGTTGAGACTCTAGAAAGAGTACAGAGAAGAGCAACAAAGATGATTAGGGGACTGGAGGCTAAAACATATAAGGAACGGTTGCTGGAATTGGGTATGTCTAGTTTAACGAAGAGAA